TGATCTGCCAATGTAGCTGCTGGTGACTGTGTCTTCCAGCAGATTCCGCAGGCTTAGAAGGCAAGGCTGAATGGACACGACTTTTCTCTTTAGCTTCTAAGAACAGACCTGCATGCACATTGAAGATGCTGGGAACATTTGAAGGACACTGGCTATTCTGTTCTTTTCACTGCTTTGCTGTTCATCTCCATCAATGTCATCATTAGCCTACTCTAAATGGCCAAGTTTTTCCTTAAAGAAAAACCTAAATATATAAAAATGAACTGCCTATACCCAAATGTCACCTCCCTAATGAAAGTTATAAATTGTGATAGCTAATCTTGACTGTCAAAACTTGATGGGATTTAGCATCACCATGGAAACAAACAAATCTCTGGGCATGTCTCTGAGAGATTTTCTAGATTAGGTTAATAGAGGTGGGAAGACTCACCTTAAATGTGGGTGGCACCATTTTGTGGGCTGGGGTCCCAGACCCCAGGAAAGCAACAGGAAAGCAAGCTGAGCACTAGCATTATCTCCTTCTGCTTCCTGACTGAGATGTCATGTGACCAGCTGCCTCTCCTGCTGCCAGACTTCTCTGCCATGATGGACTTCACCTTTGAACCATGAGCCAAAATAAATCCTTTTTCCTCAAGTTGCTTCTTTCAAGTATTTGTCATGGCAACGAGAAAAATAACCAACGATATGCTATTGTATTGCCACCCCATCACCTAACACTAAAATCCTCATCACTTTCTCTACTTATTTTCACAGCACTTTTTTTTTTTGGTCTTTTTGAGACAGGGTCTCTCTGTAGCCCCAGCTGTCCTGGGACTCACTATGTTGACCAGGCTGGCCTCAAACTCACAGAGATCCATCTGCCTCTGCCTCTCGAGTGCTGTGATTAAAGGCATGCACCACCACACCTGGCTTCACAACACTTTAAAAATTTTTTTTTATTTATTATTTTTATTTTTATTGTATGTGTATGAGTGTATTGCCTGTGGACCCAGGTTCCATTCCCAACACCCACATGGAGGCTACGAACCTTCCTTAACTCCAGTTCCAGGGGAATCCGAAGCCCTCTTCTGACTTTCACAGCACTTTTTGTCTAACACACAGTATACTGATTGATTTATACATTCTTTTTAACAGTTTATTAAAAATTTTTTACTTTATTTATTTATTTTTTATTTATTTATTTGTGTGTGTATGGATATGTGTGCTATGGTGTAAGTGTAGAGGTCAGAGGACAACTTGCAGGAGTCAGTTTTCTCCTTTTACCACATGGGTCCTCGGGATTGAGCTCAAGTTGTCGGGTGTATCATTACCTGCTGAGCCACTCACCAGCCCATTAAATACAATCTTTACTGTCTGTCTCTGCTTTCCAGAACAGCATCTCTATGAAGCTGAGAACCATTGTTTATTTTGAAGACTGAGATGTCTTTGGAGTCTAGATTACTGCTTGGTATGTAGAAGACTCCTGATAAAAACTGTTGAATAAGGGGATGGAGAGATGGCTCAGTGGTTAAGAGCACTGACTGCTCTTGCAGAGAACCCGGTTTCAACTCCCAGCATCCACATAGTGGCTAACAACCATCTGTAACAGTTCCGGGGGCTCTGACGCCCTCTTCTGACCTCTGAAGGCACTACATAACATGGGTGGGTGCACGTACATACATGCAGGCAATACACTCATACATGTAAAATAAAAGTAATAAAATATTTTTAAAAAAAAACAATAAAAAACCCCAAACTGTTGAATAAATCATTACATCAAGCATATACATCACTTCTATCAGTGTGACAATCCTATATTATAGTTATTTTAATCCCATTTTCTAGATCAAGGAACCAAATTCAGAGTTGAAGCAATCTGCTCAAGTGGAACAGTTAGAGGTGGGGCTGGACCCACCTTTCCTACTCCCATGAGTGCTTGACAACTTGGTTTTCTTTCAACATGTCAATAGGTCTCTAGAAAGGTGACTTTTCTTTTGAGATAGGGTCTCCCTGTAGCCCCAGTTGGCCTGGAACTCCCTATGTAGACTAGGCTAGCCTTGAACTCACAGAGATCCTCCTGCCTCTGCCTCCCAAGTGCTGGGCTTAAAGGGGTGCGCCACCACACCCAACTGAAAGGTGACATTTCTTAAATGTTACAAAATTTGGGGCTGGAAATATGGTTCAGTGCTTAAGTGTACTGGCTGCTCTTGCAGAGAGGACTTGAGCTTGGTTCCCAGCATCCACATGCAGGCTAACAACCACTTGTAACTCCATTTCCAGGGGATCTGATGCCTTCTTCTGGCCTCCGTGGGCATTGCACACACATGCAGTGTACTTATATACATGCAGGCAAAACACTCATACCCATAAAATAAAAAATTTGCCAGGCGTGGTGGCGCACACCTTTAGTCCCAGCACTTAGGAGGCAGAGGCAGGCAGATCTCTGTGAGTTTGAGGCCAGCCTGGTCCTACATAGTGAGTTCCAGGTCAGCTGGGGCTACAGGGAGACCCTGTCTCAAAAACAACAACAACAACAAATTTAAATGTGGGCTGGAGAGCTGGCTCAGCAGTTAAGAGCACTGACTGCTCTTGCAGAGGACCTGGGTTCGATTCCCAGCACCCACATGGCAGCTACAACTGTCTATAACTCCAGTTCCAGGGGATCCAACGCCCTCTTCTGACTTCCATGAGCATTGCATGACATGGGTCACTAACACACATGCAGGCAATAAATTCATACACACAAAATTTAAAAAAAAATTTCTTTTTTAAAAATTTTATTTATTAAATATCTTAACCACTGAGCTGACGCTCCAGCCCCCAAAAAACAGTTTCTAAAAAAATGCTACAAAATATGTTTTAGCTCAATCTGCCAACATGCTATGGCTTCCTTAAGGGAGAGAAAGGGGAAAACCTAGGGGTTGAAAAGGAAATCTGGTCTCAGAGTTTGGGTTCAGTTATCATGATGCTCAGGTTCTGCTCAGGCTCTGTAGTTTTACAAAAAGTATGGGTTAGGACTGGAGAGATGGCTCAGTGGTTAAGAGCACTGGCTGCTCTTCCAGAGGACCTGGGTTTGGTTCCCAGCACCCACATGATGGCTAACAACCATCCATAACTCCAGTTCCAGGGGATTCAATGCCCTCTTCTGACCTCTGTAGGCACTGCACAACCTGGGTGCCTTTACATACATGCAGGTGATACACTCATACATATGAAAAAAAAGGAAGTATAGGTCCCATTAACTCTGAGCTTATCCACTTGATGCCTGTGACTGACCAATGAAGGCCAATATGAGTATTTGCCTGAGATTTTCTGTAATACAAATGACTCACAGATGACCCAGAGACAGAGAAATGGTCAATCTAGCCCTTCTCCAAAGATTCTTCAAATCTGTTAACCACCTCAGAATATTTATAATATATCATTATTTATGAGTTAGCTAAACATGAAATTTATTTATGCTTCATATAAATTTTAGACACATCGTCAGAAGGTATTTCTTTTTTTTTTAAAATTACGTGTATGTGTGTGTCTGAGTGAGGGTATGTCACGTGTTTGAGGGTCCCTGCAGAAGCCAGAAGAAGACGTTGGAGGCCCTGGAGCTGGAGATACAGGTGGTTGTGAGCTGCCTGACATGGTTGCTGGGATCTGAACTCAGGTCCCTTGGAAGAGTATTAAGCGTTCAGCCCCCAGAAGGTGATCTAGACAACATTTTAAGTAATTTTGTGTATTATACAAAGTTTTGTTGTGCAGGGACAACTCAACTTTTCCTATTGTGACTTCATGCTGGCACTCAAAAAGTTTCAGGTTTTGGAGCATTATGGATTTTAGATTAGGGCTATTGAACCTGTAATACACCTTTTGATATATGTAGGAGACAAATAGGGAAGTTAAAGGGAATAAATCCATTCATCAAGCATATGTATTATTAGGAATTAAGACTTAATAGAATCCCCAAAGGACCCTGGGTCCTATCATTGAGATACTCACACATGCACATTTACTGCTACACTATCCACAGTAGCTAGAAAATGGACCCAGCCTCGATGCCCACCGAGCGATGAATGAAGAAAATGCGGTCCATATACACAATGGAAAAGAAAGATGAAATCATGACATTTGCAGGAAAATGGGTGGAACTGGAAATTATTATCTTAATAAGCAAAGTATCTCATACTCAGAAAGACAAATACTGCCTGGCATGGCAGTATATGCCTTTAATCTTAGCACTCAGGAGGTAGAGGCAGAGGTATCTCTGTGAGTTTGGGGCCAGCCTGGTCTACATAGTGAGATGCTGCCTCAAGAAACAAAAAAACAAACAAGAAAGACAAATGCTTCATGTTTTCTCTCATATGAATCAAAGACTTAATTTTTATGTGTGTGGGGTATAGATAACGAAACTAGAAAAGGGCGAGAAAGGCAGAAAAGGCCTTGCCCAGGGAGCATTGGGAGGGAAAAGGGTAACATATGACATGAACAGAGAAAGGGGGTGGGTGGGAAAGAAGGGAATCAACTAGAGGGAAGTAGAGGTTTGGGGAAGAGGATTAACAAAAACCAAATATAAAAATCCAATGAGCCAGGTGTGATGGCACATGCCTTTAATCCCAGCACTGGGGAGGAAGAGGCAGGCGTATCTCTGTGAGTTCAAGGCCAGCCTGGTCTACATAGTGAGTTCCAGGTCAGCTGGGGCTACAGGGAGACCCTGTCTCAAAAAGAACAACAAAAATCCTATAATGAAGCCCATTACTTTGTATACTACTTAAAAATAACAAACAAGGGGCTGGAGAGATGGCTCAGCAGTTAAGAGCACTGATTGCTCTTGCAGAGGCCCTGGGTTAGATTCCCAGCACCCACATGGTGACTATGAACCATCCTTAACTCCAGTTCCAGGGGAATCCGAAGCCCTCTTCTGACCTCTGTGGCATTGCACGACCCAGGCGCACTCACATACATGCAGGCAATACACTCATACACATAAAATAAAAATAATAAATAAAAAAGGTGGAGCCAGCATATAGCACCTCATGAACCACGGGGCCCAGCAGGAAGTCCAGGCGCTGGCACAGCTCTCCCAGGTTGGCTAAGCTGCTGGCCCTGTGTGCAGCATCTGGATCTCTCACTCCCCGCAGGAAGGTATGGATCAAAGGTTCTCGGTACTTGGAGACCATGTCCCCTGCAGAAAAAAGAAATCAGAATCCTTTACAATTTTAACTCCTCGATGAATGCAGATTTTGGAGCATTATGGACCTTATGCTGCACGATGCCTTACACTATTCTAGGGTCTTGTATAACCATTAAAAGTCATGTTCAGAGCTGGGCGTGGTTGCACATGTCTGTAATACAGCAGTTGGGAGGCTGGGAAAGGAGGCGCACATGTTCAAAGTCAAGCCAGTTTCAGGCCAGATTGGGCTATACAGTGAGACCTTCTGTTAAATGTTAATATTCTTTGGATATAAAAATTAATAAAACATCATGTTTAACCTTTAAGAAGCCCATAGCTTAGATCATGAGTATAAGCAGATAAGTGCTGACAATTGTGGCCCTGTATCAGAGGTAAACACAAGTTGCTTACGGAACACTGTCTCATGATCTGTCTCTTGGAAGGAAAGGGAGAAGAAAATTCCCTGCCTCCCCTTTTCCCTCCTTCTAAGTCAGGAACTTTTGTATACCTTTCTACAGTATAACAAAAAGATGAAGATGTACTTTCTCCCAACAATACACTACACGCAGTTCTGCTCACCTTCTGCTCTGTTACCATCAACGCAGCCACAGTTTATTTTCAGAATAGATGGGGAAACTTTAACCTTACAAACAGCTCATACTCAGGACTTGAGATGTAGCTCAGTTGGTAAACTCCTTGCCTAGCATGCAAAAAGCCCTGGGTTGGATCCCCAGCACTGAATAAAACTGGGTACAGTAGTACACATCTGGAATTCTAGCACTCAGGAGAGGCACGAAGATCAGAAATTCAAGGTCATCCCCACCTATAACAAGTTCATAGCCAGCTGGAATACGTAAGACTTTGTTTTTTTAAAAAAGTTGTTCAAAGAATAAACAGAGCTGAGATCAAACTTAGGCTGTCTGACAAGTCCTATGATACATTGCATTTAAGATATTTTCAACTAAAAAGAAAATAAATTTTACCTTCTCTTTCCTTTTCTAGAGTTAAGAAGGGGCTTACTCATTTGCAATGTGTAATACAGGTTTGGAGTGAAAGGATCTGGCTTCTACTTTTGGCCTCTGCTCCAACTAGCAGTGTGACCCTGGGCAACGCACTTCACTTCTTCAGAGAGTGGAGCCAAGTCAGTGAGACAAGATCTCTCTGGCCTCTTCTGGTTGTAAGTTTGTGGGTTGGTGAGTTACCTTTGGTTTAGTCATCAGGGGAATAAGAGTTAGGAGTCCCAGGAAAGAAGAAGAGGTAATATTCATAACCTCTGTGGAGGGAATTGGAGTTCAAGAAAAACGTTCCTTGTCGGGAAGGAAGGCACAAAAAATAAAATGTTTGGAAATCCGTAAAGAAGAGAAAATGTAGGTTGAAAGGGTGAGCATGTGAGAACCAAGTAATGGTTAATAATACAGGGACTTCAACTGAAAGTAAATGGCAAAGAAAAGGCATACTAAATTAATTACTAATTTATTATTATTACTACTAGAGAGATAGGGTCTCACTGTAGCTCAGCTGGTCTGGAACTCACAATATAGCCTAGGTGGGCCTCAAGATCATGACAATGCTCCTGAGTCCTGGGATTACAGATGTGAGCCACCATGTGCAGCTTAACTTATTATTTTTTAAATATTAATTTTAAAATAATAAATTTATGTGTATGTATGTATGTATGCCATGTGTGTCTGGGTGCTTGCAGAGGTCAGAAAAGGTGGTTGGATCTCCTGAAGCTAGAGTGACAGGTGGTTGTGAGCTGCTCCATGTGGGTGCTGGGAACTTGGGTCCTTTGGAAGAACAGCAAGTACTCTTAACTGTTGAGATATCTCTCCAGCCTCTTATTATCATTAATTTAAATTTTAGTGCTCTGAGACAGGGTCTCAGGCTGGCTTCTAGCTTGCTATAGTCCAGGCTGACTCTGTGTAGTCAAGGATGACCTTGAATTTCTGGTCTTCCTGCCTCCATCTCCCACGTGTGGCATTAGACCCATGTGCTGCCATACTCAGTTTTATGTGGTGCTGGGGATCAAACTCAGGGCTTTGTGTATATTCGGCAACTGCTCTACCAACTGAGCTACATCTTAAGCCCTAAAATAAATATTTTAAATCTCTATAGTGAGTGAGGACTGCAGACATCCCAAGTTAAGGATAGTTACAGCAAATGAATTCAAATTTTAGTTTAGTAATTGCTGGTAGCTAAGTGGTAAAAGGAAACAGAAAACAGCTCTCATTAACCAATAAAAGAGGGAACAAAAATTTTCTAGAAGAGAAAAAATGTAGGAAGAATACTCATCAATTCATCTTGCAAATCTTTTTTTTCCTTGCGGGGCAGGCAGTGCTGGGATTTAACATAGGGACTCACGCATGTGAGGCAGGCACACTCTACCCCTGAGCTATATACATGCCCAGCCTCATCCAGCAAGTCTTAACTGAATACCAACATTATTACAATTATGTTCCTAGTACTTAATATGGCATGAACAGGGCTAGAGATAGCTCAGCAGTAGAAGAGTGCATACTGCTCTTGCAGAGGACCTGAAAAGCATCTATATCAGGTGGCTCACAATCACCAGCTCTGGGGGATCTGATGCCCTCTTCTGGCCTCCATAGGCACCTGTATTCATGTGCACATACTTACACAGAGACACATACATATACACATAATTAAAAATAAAATAAAGCTGGGCATGGTGGCACACACCTTTAATCCCAGCACTTGGGAGGCAGAGGCAGGCGGATCTCTGTGAGTTCAAGGCCAGCCTGGTCTACAGAGTGAGTTCCAGGACAGCTGGGGGTACAGGGAGACCCTGTCTCAAAAAGACCCCCCCCCAAAAAAAAACCGAAATAAAATCTTTAAAAAATATACAGCATAAACCTTGGAAGGCAGAGGTAGGTGGATCTCTATGAGTTTGAGGTCATTCTGGTCTAGAAAGCAATTACCAGGCCAGCCAGGAGAGCCTGTCTTGAAACAAACAAACAAACAGACATGGCATAAACAAGAAAGCAGGATTCCCAGCTTCATACTTTTGGTAGGGGAGAAATACAATAAATCCTAAACAAATTTTCCAGCAGAAATCAAGCCTATAAAGAAAAATGGAGAAGGGGGGTTGAGAGCTGAGGGTTTGGGTTAAAATTCTCAGATGAAGAGATAAAAAGATGAAAGACACACGAGGATCTGGGGCAAAGTGACGAAGTGAGTAGACCACAGAAGTTATATTTATATTATTCAATTATATTAATAAGTAATATTATTATATTCAATTATGTTCATAGAAATTATGTGCTTGTTTCCTATACTTAGAAATCAACAGCATACACATTATATTAACAAAGCTACAACTTAACCTTTCATTTATTTATTTATTTTTTGGTCTTTTTGAGACAGGGTCTTCCTCTAGCCCCAGCTGGCCTGGAACTTGCTTTGTAAACCAGGCTGATCTTGAATTCACAGAAATACACTAAAGGTGTGTGCCACCACACCTGGCTCCATAATTCCTTTTAAAATGAGCATCCATGTACCTGCACTGCCCACCAACCCCACCTCCAATTGCATCTAAGAACCAAATGTTTCTATGGAGGGTCAGCATCTCAAGACCCTGCACTCTATCCAGTCATCTGGCTCTGGGGCCACTTGCCACCTTGTTTCCCAGGTCCTGGACTGGAAAGCTGAACACTCACTCATCTACTCAGTATTTCTCTATGTCCTGCCATCATGTTCTCTACAGACTAGTTCTCCCTTAGATCTCACATAGACTAGATCTGTCATACTCTTGCTCAAACTTGGTCTCTTCAGGGCATTTCCTAGGGGCTCTACTCACTTCTCACTAATCTCTCTCCTGGCTCCTACCCTGTCATATACCCAGGGTCTCATTGTCTCAGACTGCATTGTGTCCCACTCTCTAGGAGGAAGCCACCCTGACCAGGTTTCTATGGAGAACAAAATGAATGACAGTCAAAGAATATAGCTTTCAGGGCTACAATTCAATATTCATATTGGATTTAAAGATTCTATATTAGTTGGGCATGGTGGCACACACCTTTAGTCCTAGTACTCGGTAGGCAGAGGCAGGTGGATCTCTGGTGAAATCAAGGCCAGCCTGGTTTACATAGTGAGTTCCAGACCAGCTGGGGCTACAGGGAGACCTTGTCTCAAAAAACACCAAGAAAAAAAAAAAGATTCTATATTAAA